GATCACGATGAAAAGACAAATATAAAAGAGTATACTGAAGAGAACGCAGGTATTTAAACAATTAATGAGTTGATAATGTGCAGAGTGAAAGTCGAGAATCAAGAGATGCTAAAAACATTATATTTCAGTATGAGAAACAGAGATATACATATCCTCTATTATAGATTCGGGAAAACACCAGGGAATCAGGTATGTGGAGAGACCAAGTTAAAGAGGTGAAGAAAATGGAGACAGATCTTCCAGCGTCCACCTCACGGGACGTCAGCCAGAGAGAAGCTCCTCGACTGTGCACGGAGGGCCAAACCCCAACCGTGGAAGTGCATTTAACCCCGGAGGAGGTAGATGTCCACTCCTCGGGGAAAGAACATCAACCTGTTATTATAAGAGGGTGGGAAGTATACTGTCCCCCCTACAACAGGAAAATCCCCACGTATGATGAGTTATAGTCTATATGATGACTTTTAACTCAAGAAAAGGAGACAATAAGTATATCTTTAAGGTCGCGGTGATTAACCCCCTCCCACTCATTCTAGATTCTAAGTACTTCAGCACACTTTGTTTTGGCGTTTACCAGATTGTTTTAAACTAACTCTGCCTATATTTATTTATTATATTTATATTTTATATTATTTAATCAATAAGTATCTAGACCTTTTTTTATTATGTTGTTTTAATCTAAAAAAAGCATCTGGAACTTAACCAGCGACTCGAGCCAAAACCCCCAAAGCTAGGTCGTGACAATATCTCTTAGTACAGAGATAGAGAACGTATTCTATAAACATTTAAACATTGCAAATTAAATATAATTTTAGCAGTTGTTGACTCGCCCTGTAAAATCGTACCGTTCCACGGTTCACCTTCTCATCACGGCCCAAATATTTCTTCGACAGAAAAGAAAAAAGGTGAATCGCATCCCATCGAAAGAGGAAGCCCGATACTGTGACTGCTTAAATTTCGCCACAACGAACGGTCCGCGCATTTCACGGTCTGGAGTTCCGTAGGTTGTTGTCGTTCGAGTTTATTCCTCCGTGGCCCTGCGTTTCGTTTATTTTTTTCGGTGCTCAATTTTATGCAACAGAATCTCGTTAAATTGCATTTAAAGCACAATAAAATTCCGAATAATCGCCACTTGCAATCGCCCCGTTATTGCATGTCTGGCCGAATTAATTATTGTTTCCTGAATTGCTCCGAATTTATGTTTCGAGTCGAGGACTGTGGACTTTCACCGACGAGGGCACGTTCGCGTCGACACTGATTCTCTTTTTTGGAAAACAAAAGAACATTTGTCTGAAAGTCGAAGGCAAAGATAATTAGTAATAACAAGTTTATATTCGTTCCATCTCGCAGAATTTTTCTCATATTTTGATAAAAAGGTCTGGTAAAGTTCAAGCACAATTTTTTTACAGGAAATGATATTTGTTTTAAAAAAATACCGTCAACCGGGCTGCATTATATTGCTATATCTGTAAATTTCCGTTGAAAATTGAATTAATTTGATGTGGACGGCGCAGAATGTGGGTGTTTCAAAAACAGGTGCCATCTCTTGTGGGGAGCTTTCTCATGTAAAAATGAGATTTATTTTTCATATCAACATAGATCCGTTTCGTAGCTACAGGTGTTAAAATCTTAATATTTTCTCGACTTATTATAATTTTCTTCCAAGTACTTTTAGCGTTTCGAATGAAATTTTGAGGGTCAAAGTTACTATAACTGCGACATATTTTAAAGCTAAAAAAGTGTCTACATATTCACCAGGGACGTGCATATGGGTTATCACTGGAATATTTTTTTGTCAAAAAAAAGCATGTACGCCACTGACTTTTTTTTGTCTTGTTAGCGAAATAGTGTAACCAGTTCAATACCGATTAAAAGTTGCCTCTTGATATTTTGTCGATTTCGGTCTCTTTTTGATATGATAAACACCATTTTAATTTGCCTTGATCCAAGTCTAGTAGCACCCTTTAAAAAAATAATATCATTAACTTACGAAAGTTTGAAATAAGTAGGTACTCGTTGATTCTTGATCAAAAAATATGAAAATAAGCTCCTATAAACATAGGTTTGGAAATGCATAGTTTTAGAGTTACAGGATGGAAAAGCTTTTTAAAATTAGGTTTTTTGTAATTATCTTAAATACCATTATTTTTTTATTTGAATTTGCTGTAAGTTGGACTAATAGTAATAATAACTAATAGTAATAACATTTAATAATAAGTTAGGTAAAATATATAATTTATTAATTTTATTTTTATTTTAATTTTATTAATTATGATTCTCATCAAGGAGGCCGAATTGGACAAAATATCAAGAGATAATTTTTAATGGGCATTAAAAGACCTACACAATTTTGATATCAAAAGAAAAAAAGTCATTCAAAAATTCTCAAAAACTCAAAATTTAATTCGATTAACTAAAAGTAGGTACTTGGAAGAAAATTATAACAAATCGAAAGATTATTAAGACTTTAACACCCTGTAGCTACGAAACAAAGCAGAATCGGATCTATGTTGATATGAAAAATAAATCTTATTTTTAGATGGACATGTTATTTGAAACACCCAGTATACGAAGCAGATTAGTAGGTAAACAGGGTGGTCCGAATTGTATTCGGAAAAAGTAAAAAGTTCCCATAAATTTATGTCCTAAAATGCCGGAGATAAAATAAGTTTATGTCCTTCCGGACATACAGGGTGTAAATGTCCAATTTATATTTCGACTTTTTACAAATAATTTCTGAGCTAACGCCGATATTTGGATGAAAATTAGTGTCTAGATGTTTTTTCGCATGATAAATTCTAGTTCGATGTTAGCATGACTTCTATTTCTAGTAAGGCGCCACCTACATATTTTTTAGCTGTCTTGAAGAGTAATAATTTATATTACACTATAGGTACTGAGTGAAAAAATATACATTTAATATAACATCTAACAGTTTAATGGTAAGTTTCGACGTTAGTCTTTTCACTTGCCGGTAGATAAATCACTTAAAATAGTTAGGGATAGATTAGAACAAGATCAACATTTAATATACCTTCTCAATTAAATAATGAATTTTTTCAACAAGATTTCGGTATGGCAATGGGATCACCTTTCTCTCCTTTGTTAAGTAATATTTTTATGGAAGATTTTGAAAATAATACAATAAATAGTTATTCAAAAAAGCCTGTAATATGGCTGCGATATGTTGATGATATTTTTGCAATATGACAACATAACGTTTCTGAAATAAACTTTTTTTGGATTACATAAACTCTCACGAACCTATCATAAAATTTACTTTAGAAGTAGAGAGAGGTAATCGCGTTTCTTGATGTTTTAGTGTCAAAGTTTCAAAATAAACTAATTTTAGATGATTACAGAAAACCTACAAATACAGATAGATACTTAAATTTCATATCTAATCACAGTGTAAGTGTAAAAAAAGTGTTATAAAAAGTTTATATGATATGGTAAAAATAATATGTTCAGACGACATTTCACTTAACAGAGATATAAACCACATAAAAGACATTAATAAAAAAACGACTATCCACCATATTTTATTGACAAAACATTAAACGAGAAATACAAACCCCAAATCATAGACACAATGATAACAATACACAATATATACAACTTACAATTCCATACATACGACGCGTTTCGGAAAAAATAAGGATAGGAAAACAATACAACATACGATACGAATATCTTTCAAAACACAACATACACTTAGATCCATTTTATCACATACTAAACCGAACTGTTGGTAAACATCAAACAAAAAATGTAATATACCAAACACCATGCAAATGCAATAAATTTTACATTGGTGAAACATCTAGACCCTTAAATATTCGAAACATTAAATTAAATTAAAGAACATAAAGATTATTTAAGAAAGGGAGATTAGGTTAGGTTAGAAAGAGATAAACTTTCCGAAACGTTAAGCATTTTTTTGTTCGTAAGGCAAATTTGTATAACTGTAAACCTAACTTCTGACAAGTAGTTTCCGTTTGGGATTAACGCAGAAGTGTTTACAAAAAATAACTATTTTATTTTGTAGATTTTTTTGTAGTGACGAAATACCCATAGAGGATTTTTTAGAGAGATGAATCCGCCACATAGGTATAGACATTTTTTAAAACATTTCTTTATTACTTGTTTTTATGTTTTTAAGAAGATTCTGAAACTACGCCTATGACGTGTAAAATTTTGAAAAGAGAATTATAAGTCTGTTGTCAAATTAATCTATAAAAAATGTTTCGATTTGTTTGCTAGTATACGTTGGGTCAAAACCAATCTATGCATATTAATTCATTTTACGCATTTCTAGTTGAATATGATTAAAATTTAAAAAAAAACTCACAACGAAGACACCACCATTTAAGTGCAACCAAACCAAACCAAACCAAACAAATTTAAATTGCCACACGAGAAAATCGTTTCTGACTAAACATTGACTCATACCCCCATCGCATTCCTATATCCGTGCATCGTAAATCTGAAACTCGCCATATATAATTACCTACCGACAAAAAATAAAGCTTTTCGAAAAGCTCTCTCAGGTGCACCGACTCGAGTGACTCATCTCTGGCGGTAGGCCGTAACAAAATGCGACCAATCACTTTTCTCACGTCGGCCTATAAGAAATTAAAGCTCCATCGGCCTCACTAAGTGACTCATTTTTCAGTGCAACGAGGGATCAACGCTTTCGGACTCTCGTTGCGTGCCTATGACTAATAACTAGTCTTTTATTTTGTTAACGTTGAAAAATATGCAGTATATACATAGATTTATGAAGTTAAAGATGTAGCAAAGACCACTGCGCATCCTGCCAGTTTCCCACTCCAGGATTCCAAGCGCTCGGACCAATGAATAACATTTATTTGAATAACGCGCCGACTGGGGCCGATGAGCTGTCAACCGACTCTATTTTCTGCCATTTTCGTTGTGTCAGCTGTGTGTTTACAGTCGTTCTAGTGGCTTTGTTTGTGTTTAATTTGGACTTACTATTGTTTTAAAAATGCCTAGGTGTGTTGTAAAAAACTGTATTTATAATAAAAGTGCCAATTACTATCGGGATAAGACTGATGTGCATTTATTTCGGTAAGTAATATGAAATTTGATAATTTAAAGTAGCCATGTTGTTTTCTGTTTTAACTTTGTACAGGACAGCATTTAGTACGTTTTCAATTTTTTATTAAATTAATGGAATCCAAATTGATAATTGCAGGAAAATCAGTTACAGTTTTCTAGATTAAGAGAATAATTTCCTTATAAATATATGGAGTTCATTCTCACTTTTATTTCAGATGTTATTGACACGAAACAGTATAATAAATTAGAAATTATTTTAGTTATTAATGTCTGTATATCTAATCTAGATTTTACTTACTATCTTATCTAGCCTTTTACTTTAGCTTTTACTGCATATCTAACCTATACCTGATTTATTTTAGATTTCCTAAAAATAATGAGATGTGGGAGTCTTGGAGAGCAGCTTTGGATTTAAACAAAGATGATATTTTTAAATATTCTCACGTGTGTCATTTGCATTTTAAAGAAGATTCATTTGATAATGAAAAATCACCCTTTTCATTACATTTAAAGAAAACTGCTATACCTATATTGGTAAGTGCTAATTTAGAATATTTTATGTTTCAAAGTAATATGAAATATTAATAAACAGGGAATTTAAAAAAACTGCTAGTTCATTATAAAATATATATTTTTTATAATTTAGCCTTTGTCACAATACTTTATTATTATATTTTACTATATTATATTTTAAGATTTAAATAAGCGAAATGAAAATTTTTTTTTTGAAAGTAGTGGTTACGTGACCACTACATTTTATTTTTGATCAATTTTTATACATTTTAAGAATATTTATTACTTTTTTATAGATTACAAGTAACACTTCATGTCGTGCTGCAAGTGAATGTGACCTATCTAGAAAGACCACTGATTCCTTTTGTTCTGAACATGCAAATACAATACAGAGTGTCTCTCTGTAATGGATTGTAGTTCTCTGCCGTCTACTAGCACAGGTGTTTTTAAGGACAATCTAGAACTACCATATAGACCATCGAGTAGCACTGAACCTTTAGAAAATATGACTTCACCACTTTCATCCATTGCCAAGGATATTGCGGTAAGTCTGGTTACAAATGTAATTTGAATTAGAGATCTTAAGGGGAATATATTGGGGAATTGGTCTATATCATGAAACCATTTTGAACTATCAATATCAAAGTATGCTGGATCGAAAACCGTTTGAACATACAGTACTGCAAAATAATCAACCAAACCCTCAACTGTAATACAGTACTACTGTATAATCAAGAAAGGAAATGGCGAAAGTGAACTTGGAAATGATGATCGATGACATTCTTCGTATAATTTTTATATAAAATAACAGTGGTCTTCATATCCAAGCTAACTTTGACACCATTTTTCAATTGTATTGTATAATTATATCTCAGAAGCTGATTATTTTAGGCATATGATGTTTTAGAAAAAATGTCAGTGTAAGTTTACAGAGAATTAAAATATACTTTAGCACATATGCTATTCAAGTATAAATAAAGATATGTAATAAAAAAGCTTTGCTTCTAATATGCAGAATACCTGGATGAACTAAATAAGAAAACATTGTTGATAAAGAACTGTTTTTGACACATACGAGTGTATTACACTAAAAAAGTTTTAACTGTATATTTTAATAACAAGTACAATTGCTATAAGAAAACTTTGCCTGTATGTAGGGATGTGAGCAAATTATAAAAAACTAAATACCCCCAAATTTTTCTGACATTGTCATGTTACGGTCAAAATGAAAATGACGGTCACGTCATTTATTTTATGACACTCTTGTCATTTATTTCTTTGTTCACCTAAATTTATGACGTAAATTTATGATATATATCTCTTTATTTCATTTTTTTCTTTGAAAACCCCCAAATTTTTCTCTGACATTGTCATGTAACGGTCATAATGAAAATGACGGTCACGTCATTTATTTTTATGACACTCTTGTCATTTATTTTTATGACACTCTTGTCATTTATTTTTATGACACTCTTGTCATTTATTTTTTTGTTCACCTAAATTTATGACTTAAATTTATGATATATATCTCTTTATTCCATTTTTTCTTTGAAAACAAATGGACCTTAGTTACTCAGTGTGATATAGCTGTGTTTTGTTTCATTTTTTTTTAAATATTATTATTTTATTTTAAAAGTATACCTAAGCTATGCCTTTAAGCTTATTTAGTGAACGTAGAACCACTAAGACTGATTTTTGTTTAAGTTTGTTTGTATTTGTTAATATATCTTTATCTTTACTTCCCTAGCGATTTTTTTACATTTAAGGTAAATGACCATAAATGACCGTAAATGACACATAAATGACAATGTCATGTCACAAAAAATAAATTACCATTTTTACATCCCTACCTGAATGTCTGTAAGCATTTTTTTTGTGCCTCGCCTGTATGTAAACGTACAGCCTCGCCACGAAAAGTGTCATTTTTATTCCTAATAAAACAATATACTATTTTTGTGATTAATATTGTGTTATTTTATATTTTATAGCCCATTGTAGAATTATTTTTATTTAAATAGTTTTAAATAAAGAATTTTTAATATCATAAGGTGGTTTTTCTGCAGTCCTATTCTACAATTAAATTTGCTTATTAGCGTCCTACACCAGAAGATTTGGCCTGCAGACTTGGTCTGCGGATAAGAACTTTGTGTTTGTGTGCCGGACCAAGTCTGTAGCAGGCCAAGCCATTGGCGGACCAAGCCTGTCACAGGCCAAATCAGAGCAGACTTGATCTGTCAGATTAGATTGGTCTAAAAACGAGTAGCCACCCATACACCAGAAGATTTGGCCGGTGGACTTGGATCACCCTTATCACTTACCCCCGGTATTTTCAGGTACAGATAGCGTGTTATATATTTTATTTGACGGATAGCGTGTAAAAACGTGTATCTTCTACCAATTGTTTTATCTTTAAGATTGTTATTTGTTAGATAAAAGTTATTTATTTATACCTGAAAATACCGCGCCTTAGGGGTATAAAAATAGATAATAACCTACCCCCAAACCTACTGGAATATATATATATATATATATATATATATATATATATATATATATATATATATATATATATATATATATATAAAATTTCATCAAACTCGGTCAGGCCCAGTCAGGCCGTTTCGGAGGAGTAAGGTAACAAAAATTAAAAAAAACATCCCCTATTAAAAAGAGCGGTTGATGGTAGAAAAAAGAAAATTTAGGGTTGTATGTATTTTTGCCAAATTGTATTAATGTATTAATTGCCAAATGTATTAATTGCCAAATCATAAAAAATAAAAGAAAAAAAATTCCAAAAATTAAAAAAAATATTTTTTTTGGGCCACCAAATCGATAACCTAGTCTCAGACCCACTGATTATACATATAAAATTTCATCAAAACCGGTCAAGCCGTTTCGGAGGAGTAAGGTAATAAAAAAAATTAAAAAAACAACCCCTATTACAAAATAGGTGTTGGTGGTAGAAGGGTGAAAATTTAGGGTTGTATGTATTTTATAATGCCAAATCATAAAAAAATTAAAATAATTTTTTTTCAAAAAAAGTAAAAAATTTTTTTTTCTTGGGTCACCCTTATCACTTAGGGGTATAAAAATCGATAACAACCTAGTCTCATATCCACTGATTATACATATAAAATTTCATCAAAATCGGTCAAGCCGTTTTGAAGGATTAAGGTAATAAAAACTGTGACACGAGAATTTTATATATTAGATGTATATCATTATTCACTTAAAAATTTCTAAATCCGCTCCTGGCGTGACCCCCACCAAAGGAACCCAGATCGGAAAAACAGGCAGCCTTCGCGCATTATAAAATAGAGCATTTGTTACCTCTTTCTCTTCTAACCTCTTTGAGTATATAGAAAATAAAAGGAGACGTAAGTGAAATGCTTAAAACAAACACCGATAAACAGTGGCGGCTCGAAAATAGTTTTGAGCTGCATCGACAAAAAGTAAAAAATCCCCTTTTTGTTTAGAAAAAATGCATTTTCAATTTCACTGGTATAATTTTTCCTCACTATTATACCCAGCGATAAAAGTATAGCAATTATTAATGCATTAATGTAACGGCTAAAATACACGGTAAAGGTTCTCACAAATACACGGTCCAAAATAAAGGTCCTCAAAATAGGAATTGACCTCAAATCTAAGGAAGAAGGGACATATCCTCTATTATAGATACGGGACAACATCGGTATCAGGTCTAAGGAGAGACCAAGTGAGAAAAAAAAGAAAGAGGTAGAGAAAATGGAGACAGATCCTCCAGCCTACACTTTACGGGTACTTCAGCCGGAGGCAAGCTCCTCGACTGTGAAGGGCACGGAGGGCCAAACTCCAACCATGGAAGGGTGTGTACTCTCGGAGGAAGAACATCTGTTGTCAGAGGAGGATGGGAAATACCCTGTCCTCTCTACAACAGGGGTATGGTGGGTTATAGAGTGTATGATGACTCAAGGAAGGGGGCACAATACGAGTAGATCTTTGAGGTCGCAGTGATTAACCCCCCCCCCCTCTCACTCATTCTACATTCTATAACGGGTAAAATGGATACTCAATGCAACACCGAGACCAAGACTGGCGTTTGATCTGCAGAACCAAGATCAAAACCGACCAGTGCAAGACTTCCACAAGACCAACACCAAGCATGCAAGACTCTTGGGGTCACGCATTTTTTTCACTTTTATATGACATAAGACTTATTTGTTCAAACTTATTGTTTTAATTTATTACAAATAATTATATATTGCCTATTGCATACTATTTTAAAGAAATAAATGCTGATACGAAAACAACTGGGAATTGGGGAAAGAAATGAAGAGTAGAGGGACTTGTTACAATAAGCATATCAACAGAACCTGTTCATAGCCAATACATATTTTAAAAAGAACACAAATAGGAAATGGACATGGCAAGCTTCTAATGATGGGGTAACTAGGAATGAAACTGATTTCATTTTAACCAACAAGATAAACACAGTAAAAGATGAAAGCGTTCTTAACAATTTTCGAACAGGCAGTGACCATAGACTCGTCAGTAGGTACCAGAATAGTCCTTGATATTTGACTAGAAATACTAAAATTAATCAGGAAATCACTTAAAACTAAAGTAAACAACAACACACTAAAAGAAAGATCCAGTGAATATGAACAGCTGCTGGACAGCAGGCTGCCTGAAAAATAAACAAACACCACCCTGTATATATACCAGCTGTCTAAGAAGAAAACATACCACAAGACCGGAATAGCGCCAACATAATTCTAATTCATAAGAAAGTCAGCAAAGGAGACATCTTAAACTATAGACCAATAAGCCTACTATCAGTAACATACAAGAAATTCACAAAAATACTACAAAATACATAAACAAACAGAATACAAAACACGCTAGACGTTGCACATCACGAGAACAAGCAGTCTTTAGAAGCAGCTTCAGCACGATTGATCACATACATACACTAAGAGCGCTTTCACACACACCGGCAAAATCGGTACCGGTGACGGTGCTGAAATCAATTGCAATATAAGTAAATTAGTTCCTTCACATATAATCCGATCCGGTAAAATAGTCATGGACCGGCAAATACAAAAGAATTAAATACAACTGTCGGAACGTGTTCAAAGCCGGCGCCGCACCTCAGTTCGGATCGAACAAAAGAATACGAACTTCCACTGGCCATAGCCTTTATAGACTTTGAGAAGGCTTTCGACTCGATATATCCTAAGGCAATAAATAATAGAAGGCCTAGCAAAACAACGTACTGCCGGGCTTTACACAGAAACTCTCGCCAATATATACAAAGAAGTCAAAGCAAGAGTAATGATATACGTATAAAACAACTCCAGAGTTCACAACTCGCAAAGGCGTCCGACAGGGAGAGGCGATATCACCAAAGCTGTTTAAAGCAACACTGGAAGAAGTCTTCCGCCAACTATAGACCGGACCAACAAAGGACTGAAAATAGATGGAGAATATCGTAACTATCTAAAATTCGCTGATGACATAGTCCTATAATTGCCAATACTTCTGAAGAACTACAAACACAAATTAACGAACTAAATACAGCCAGCAATGAAGTAGGTCGGTCTCAAAACGAATTTATCAAAAACTAAAGTAACGAACTAGTGGACAGAAAAAATACTCTGATAAGTAACACAAAACTGGAAATAGTAGAAGAATATTTAGGACAACTAACACACAGCTGGAAATCCCTACTACTAGAAATAAACCGAAGAATTAAGTTTGGTTTGGAACTGTTAAGTTTGGTTTGGAACAAACTCTCAAGACACTCTCGAAGGAAAGACATCATAAGAGGTTTTCTTCTCAATGGTCAAACGACCCGCAAGTTTAATAGTCAAAAGACGCCTCCTTATTAGTCAAAAGATACGCATCCTTAATAGTCAAAAGACTCGCATCCTTAATAGTCAAAAGACTAGCAACCTTAATAATCAAAAGACTCGAAACACCTCCAAATGTCAGCTCTGTGGCAACACTACACTACACTACAGCCGGCCGACCCGTCTATTACTGCCACGCCGGCAAGTTAAGCCTCCTTGTGTTGTTGTTGCTGTTGTACATCGCTTCCCAATGAATCATACTATTTTCTCTAATCGACTTTCAAATAGAGTGTTTTAGCATTACTAGATAAATAAATAGAGAGTTTCCGAAGGAATGCATATTTTTTATCAGAATAGTGAATAGTAAAACCATTATTATAACGAACTTATTTTCCAAGTTTTACAATGGAGTACTTATGGAAGAAACTCAATCATATTTAAATATAGAATGCCACTTTATCTACAGGAGAAAACATTTGACCAATATGTACTACACGTAAAGATCGTAAAAGAATAGGGTCGATACGACAAAAAACCCAGGTCGTCCACAGAATCAAATCCCTCAAGTGGCAATGGGCAGGACACCTGGCAAGAAGGACGGACAACAGATGTACCATAAACATTACAGCATTAGAAACTACGAGACCTAGGAATAGGATAACTTGAGCCCGCATAGCCAACAATGGGCCCAACTACAAAAAGAGTATCTAAATATGTAAGGGAGGCTAGATCATAAATCGAAATGGTTGAATAAGCTGGAGAATGATGATGAACCGAAATTTAACAATTCCCTCCAAAAAAGACATTATTAAGACACAATCACATGTTGATCGATATTTTAACATTTTAATTAAACTCCAAAAAAAGTTTAATCATATTGCCAAAACAAGTAGATTATGAAGTTTCCATTCTTCTCAGATTCCATTTTTCTCAAACATCACGAATGAATTACAAGTAAATAATTATAAAAATTTAGAAAAATAGTAAATAATTAGTAAATTGATATGAGAAACCTCATAAATTGATGCATAAATAGACCAAAGTAAGTTAAACTAACAGTAATTCAACATTCTGTTTAAAAAAAAATATATATATATATATATATATATATATATATATATATATATATATATATATATATATATATATATATATATATATATATATATATATATATATATATATATATATATATATATATATATATATATATATATATATATATATATAAATGAGGGTAATAAATTGCTAGCTTGAGTAGCGAAACCAAAGAGTGAAACTCTTCGTCACTGATATTACATTATTTGACTTTTGAGTCACGCACTTATCTATGCAATTAATGTTAAAATATATAAATCAAACTTGTACGAAGGTCCTATTCATTCTCTAGTTATTTCAAATGAAAACATACGTGTTAAATTCTTTCATTTCGTATAATGATTTAGTAAATATTTACTTATGTTATTTGCGATATTTCAGAGAGATTAACGAAATACTCAACCGGCGTGCCTAATCAGAAGAGAAACAAAACAGTATACTATGCTTATCTATTAGGTCTAATGGCACAATAATGGAATTTCAATATATTTGTGATCTCAATATCATACTGAGAAACAAGAATTATAAACTAATTCTACCTTTATAAGTACAGATATAACACCAGTAAGTAATTCAATTTCTAAAGGCGAATCCTGACGAATCGTGTACTCGTACAAACATTTGCTATTGGCACTTACCATGTCGTGTGGGCGGTTTACTTGTGCAATTATTTGTCACACGTCGCACCGCGTGAGCTCCAAGCTTGTTGCAAAAAAAATGTTTTTTACAAAGATAGTATACTTGCCAAGTACGCAAATATTGCCACACTTGCCAAGTACACGAGTCGTCAGAATCCGCCTTAAGAAGCTGATTTGGTAATAAAAAGAAAGGCACGGAGATATAGCGTGGATGAACATGTATTGGAAAAAGAGTTGCCCTAAAGCATAGTTGAATACTATTTAATGATCTAATAAACGAGGACTCCGGATAAGGATATATTAACCCCAGAAATAAAATTTCTACTGGAGTTATATTATATCTATCTCTAAAGACGGATTTTCAAGACTCGTGTACTTGGCAAGTACGCCAATATTTGCGTACTTGGCAAGTATACTATCCTTGTAAACAACATGTTTACAAGCTTTAATTTAACTGACTTTGTATGTAACTATGTATGTATGTTTGTTCGGGGCAAATCTTGTAAGCTAGATTAGAACCACTTCCTTTCATTGTACCATCGATAAACAAGTAAATTAAATTACTGGATCTATTTGATTTTAATTGTAAAACTTTTCAAACTAAATAAATACATACGAGTAAGCACACAATTTTGACATACCATTTTTAAATGCATTAAAACTAACAAAATTTTCGTACGTTTACATCCACAAATTGTCTGAGTTGTTAATGCTTGTCAGTGTACAAAGCTAAAAAATACTCATCTCCTAGACTATTAGATGTGTTTTGATTGAAGGATGACATAAATAATATACCTGAAGTATATACAATATACATGGCAATTTAAACCTGTGTCTACTCTATCTCATTTTGAAAGTTTGTGTTATGATAGACCACTAGACCAGGAATTACAAGATAAAGTTGTCGTACCAGATTTTTATGAGTGTAACTGTACACTCGCGACAAGCTTTTATATAATATTAAAATTGTGTAATGACGTTATACCTAAGTTCATAATCAAAGTTTTAAAGAAAGAGTTTATTTTTTCTTTTTAGTGTATTTAAATAAAAGCGTGTTTTTAAAGAAGTGTTTTTTCTTAAAATTTCGTATTTACAAGCTTGGCGCTCACGCGGCGCAACGAGTGACAAATGAATGGCAATTGCACAAGTAAACCGCTTACACGACATGGCAAGTATATGCCAATAACAAATGTTTGTACAAGTACACGAGTCCGCCTTAAGAGTTATTAAGGAAAAGACAAGTACTTGTACATGTACCATTTTCGTGTGATTTATGGGGTACGAGTAGAGATACAAGAGTCATGTAAAAACGGAATCTTTGTATCTCTACTCATAAGCGAGAAACAAGATAAATCACGAAAATAGGACATTCTGTTGTCACCCTCTTGTCATATTTAACATAACTCATTTGTTTGAACTAATTTATACATTGAACGTTGATAATGATTCAAATTAATTCAATGGGCAACCACCGTCAAAAACTTCAGTAAATAAATAACTCGAACTGAAATTATTATACTCAATGTCAACTTTGACGAAGATTCAAACAACTGTTAATAATTATTCAGACAACTGTTTATAATTATAATAAACAATATGCTTGAATAATTATCAACTAATCATCATTTATGATTGAATCAGTTTGAAAAAATACCTAATTTAAATTAAGGAACGTAGGAAAGAACAAACAACCTTCGCAGTAGTAAAATATAGATTTAATAATAAAAAAAATAATATAAAACACATCAATACATAACATCAGACAAAAATATTATGTAAAAAGTGGCATACAAAAATATACTAAAAATTCGATCTCCATACAGTAATTTAACTATCACAGTTATTTAAAATAACTGACATACTATGGTAATTAAGACAATAAATATTAACATAGACACAGGTTTATTAAAATTTGAGGATACATTTAATCGTCGCTAGTTACATCCGATTTATTCGAAAAATTAGCTATTCGTATTTCTAACTCTTCAATTTTCTTTTTCAGGTGCATATTCTCCTCCAAAAGATAACTGTCGCGATTGATGGCTGCGTCTGGGTTAATTTCATTCCTAATACTGTTACAGTAATTTTCCATTTTCATAAATTCCTTCACCATGGCCAGATGGAAATCCAGCATCATCCTCCTTATCTGAGCACCCGACTGCATAATATCTTGCTTAATGTCGCTTCTCAAATCATCGATAGCCTTTTTAACTTCATCTTGAACGGCTTCTTTGGTTATAGTTTGTATTCCCGAAACGGTTGGCAAAACTGCTTGAGATTTTGAACGATTCTGTTCCGAAGTTATAGGAGAAAACACAGGCGGAAAATTTTCAGCTAATATTTTTGGAGTGGATTGTTTGATGGATTTGGAGTCGTATAAACCCAGTTTTTCATGCACTGTTCTTGTAGGGTTTGGCGTAAAAGAACTCAAAGACGTACGTTTACCACTGAGACAATCTCTACTTTTATTTTCATGAATACTCTCTTCAAATTTCATCGAGTCCGCAGTATCATTCTTATCGAGACCCAAAGCTTGAATGAAAGAATCACCTCCATCTTGGGTTGTTAAAACAGATGATCTTGGGCTGTCAGATATGTCATTATCGGGAGCATTCGCTTCAACTATGACGCCAAATATGTCACTGGTTCGCTTTTTTCTAACGGCAACTGCTTCGGTACTTCTAGAAGGTCGTGAAACTTCTTCGGTAACAATACTGCCGACCGAACTGTTGTTATTAACCGAATCTGACGAAGAATTTTGAAAGGCTAGATGTCTAATGGCTGATTCGTGGGCTTCAAACGAGTAAACGGGAGTTTGAAGATTGCGCGAATCGTATACGTGCATTTTACCGTTTTGAGACCCCATGGCGATATGCGTTGCGTCTTCGGTAAAGTCCAAAGATGTTACATTATTTTCGACTGGAATACAAGCGATTCTCTGCCTATCATCAACATCAAACACGCACACTTGTCTGTCTAAACCCGCCGAAATAACCAGCGCGGCGTTTATTGGAGAAAATATGGTTGAAGTAACTGGAGCTTTATGGGCATCGTTGTAAAATTTTACTTTGTTGACGTTAGTATCCCACACCGCTACGATACCTTCATTGCTTCCACCCACAAAGAAATTTCTTCTTTGACTATGCGCTTGTACTGATGTCAAGGAATTTGATTTAGGCACCTTCATAGTACACGACAAACTTTTAGCAACGTTGTTAAACAGTAATAGGTCGCCATTCGAGCATCCGGCATAGCAATGAGTGTCTTTAGCAGTAAATCCTACATGTGTAACAGAGCAGGTCGTTCTAGGATATCTGGATTTGATACTCTTAGACTTAACATCGTATAAAAGCACCTGTCCGTGCTTTGTTCCGACCGCTATGTTTCGCTTTGTTAAATTCTGAAAGCTGGCGCAGGAAGGTTCGATAACATCCTGTACTGTTTGAAGTAATTTGCAGTGACCTTTAAGTGTGATAATTTCAGCAAATCCTAGATGGGGAACGACGGCTAGCCAGTTGCCGTCCTTAGACCATGATATGCTTCTACACGGACCATCGACTTTGGATGTAGGTTCGAATGTGTATGAGACGGATGTAGCGCCAATTTCGTGAAATTTCACCACCGTCGAAGACGAACCAATAAACATTCTCATTTCTGTAAGAATAATAGTCTTATTAGTTTAGAATTCAGTCATAAAAAGCCTCAAACTATCTATATTGCATTAACATTTATTGTTAGTGTCTTCAACCCACTGTTACAATTAACTGTTGATTTTGATAATAAACAACAATTTACAGTTTCAAAACTCTTCTGTCTTTATACCTTCATGTTTTTGGAGTCCACAAAATCAAAACGCGTTTTTATGTAATATAATTTGGTTATCATTCTTCGATAGATTGTTATTGATAGAATTTTAATTAACTATATTTGCGGTTTTGAAATGTTAAATAAGCACAAAATTTATTTAGTTCAATGCTACGGAAAGAGTGATAATAGTTACCGGAAAATGTGATACTTAGTAACAATAGCAAAAAATATGACGTTAATCAACATTAATAATAACCATCTATCAAAGAATGAAATCGAAATTATATTACTATAGACACGCCTTCTCATTTTTAGGACTTTCAACCATATCCCGTATGATGAAAAAAAAAACGGCGTCCAGTTGGCTTGGAAGTAACGATCAATTACATTCTCCATATTACAGCGATCTTCATTTCATAGCCATCGCTGACGCCGTTTTTTTCGATAATACGGTATTTATGTATTTTTTTAATTTTCTCTGAAACGGTGTGGTAATATTAAAATTTAATCATATTTTCATGTTTTTTTATTTTCTCTAAAACGGGGTGAAAATGTGGAAAAATACTATACTGAATTGTCAACAATAAAAAAAGGTTTTCCTCTGGTGAAGACCATCAGGAGACATATTGTATATAAAATATATTTTATCCAGTCCTTTTCCAATCCCGTCTACCAATTTTCCATTTTCCTGACTTAAACTGAAGATGTCAAGTATTAATCACCCTAGCGAGTGTGTCTCAAAAGTGGCTCACTCTTATAACTTTCTTATTTTTTCAGATAAAAAAAAACAAGATTCGGTATGTTAGTATATAACATAAATTGGGTATTGATTGACGCATTCAATTCTTTTCGGTCACTTCTTGTTTCATCTCAAATGACTATACAACAAAGAACTTTATTCGTTAGAAAATAACAATTTGAATAGAATGACATATCATATTGTGTCAACTTTTGACATTCTCGGTTAAAAAAAATTGTATTTTATGTAAATTTCAATCTAGTGTCATGGCTGTGTTAAAAACACTAATTTTTAATCAAGGAGCCTTGGAAAATAGATTTGCGTGTACAAATATACCAAATTTTGTTTCTTATCTGAAAAAATAAATAAGTTATAGAGGTGAACCACTTTTGAGATGCACCCGGTAAACAAAACTGATTTCGATTGTCAAAAAGATTTAGAATCATTGCCAGGTTTAAATTTATGTAGTAACATCTACATTAAATAATAAATTTCTTAGTGATTTCTATCACTATATAAGTTTACTTATTCAACAATAAATATTTGGCCTTTGAAAGAACCTTTTATCTCACTGTCGTCAAATAACCAATCCACCCCCCATATAAAAAAAACGAAAATAAATTTGCAAAGATATTTAGGTATTTAAAAAATAATAAAAAATGCAGTCTTATTATTTATTAAAATCTAGTAAAATTAAAAACCATTATGTATTTTATAACACCTTTAAACCTTTTCTTTTATATTTTACATATTTTTCATATAAACCTGCCGTTTGATTTACTTTCCAAGAGATTAAATATAGATATATGATTTCAGAAGTTCTAAAAACTAAAGATGGCGAGATATGTATATTATAATTATATTATATTCAAATATCTGTATATAGAGCGCAATATATATTAGTCTGGATATAATATTATTAAAAATAATATATTCCAAACTTTGATAACAAAACAGATTTTATTAATTTATTTTTTTATCTCCTTGTATTGAAAATTCTAAATTTAGACAATGTGGCTCCATCTATCAGTTGAATAAGTTAGTAAAGACAGATATATCTTAAATTTCTTTTTGTACAGCTGCATAAATATAACTACTACTTCATAGATGGCGCAAACCTAAACATAACAATTTTAAAAACCTTTTTCAGAAAGCTTCTATTGAAATAGCAAGAATTACAAGAATTAATGGGCAATAAGAATTAATAGGAAAAAAATATACTCCAACACTCTTTCTAAAATAATTAAATTTAAAATTTTGATAAAAATGACTGGGACCAGCGCCCTTAGTGGAAATAATTTGAACTAGCTGATTTTTAGAAAAGTGTATTTTGCCACGCAAACCTATTATAACTTTTAGATAAGTTAAAAGTTTTGATTAAGCAGCATACAAAAATACCATGTAAGTTTACTTTACCCCAAATATACTTAAATGTAATATCGATTCCATTTTTTTCATATCAGTAATTAATTATGACAAAACTATAAACATAACATAACCTGAAGAGTTGTTATAAAGAATATTATCGTACTTACTTGACTTATGTAGCTATTAGTCGGATGTTAAACTATGGTAGGATTTTCTTCTTTAATGTTTCATATTAAATGTCTACTTTCTACTGGAATGCACTATTAAACAAAAACAAAATTTAAAATAAATGACAAAAAACGTCACTGACGTTTTTCAACCTTCACAACTTTTAACGGCTTCAATTATAAATACCTTCTTTACCGATCTGTCATCTGTTAGCATCTGTCAAGTTTGTCAATTTGTCGATTGTTTATTGTTTATATCGGCTTTATATTAAAATCTCATATATTTTTTAAAAAGGAAAATTATAAGCTCTATTGCTTTTATAACGCTAAGGTTGGTTTTTGTCTTTGTTTTAATTATATAAATATCTCAACTTTTTAAGGATAGGTGGGTAACTTATAAATTTTTCTTTTATTTTCAGAATGTTTACTGATGTGCATTTAGCTGTTCTATCCAATGCCCTAGGAATAGTACTATTTCTTCTAGTTGTCTTGTATCACTATGTAAATTCCAACAACCTAAGGCAGAGTACTTAAGTCGATAATTAATATGAAAATAATACAAATGTGCTTAATGCAAATCTTTATTTAATATATGGAGCTTTTTATAATTTAAAGTGGTGTATTATCTTCAATTTGTTTATTACTGATTTTGCTTTAATTTTACTATTCATACATTTTTATAAGTGATTTAATTGTTTTAGGAATCTTATATTTTGAAAAATAAATATTCAGCAATGAATATAAGCAATGCAATAAAATTTCCAATAAGGATAATACCAAAAGGCCCTGCCACCCGACATAGGTTTAATCGTGTTATGCTATATTGGATAATTTTGCTGTTTGCCGTTTCACTCAGAGCTTCTTGAAATGTTTGATTATTAAGTACAGCGACTGCCTAAAAATAAATATTGTTAGGTTCTTTTGCCATATACTGAAAGTAGGTATTGCCTTATAAGTATTTACCTTGTTTAGTAAGTAATAATTAATACCTGCTTCATTAATTCGATATATAAAATCATTAAGGGATGGAAGTAAAACTGAACTTTTTCGTAGCAGAAAAACTGAGTACTCTCTATGTAAGTCTTCCTTCATTAGTTGTAAATTTTTTATTTCATTATTTAATGAAAATGGAAAATGATATTTGTCTGAAATAAAAATAACATTAATTTGGATTATATATTAACAAAGTATATCTTACGCTGTGGCAACCTTTCAATCATTAAACCAAAATTATTTGTTTTTAGATATTCTTTTAGAGGTGTTTCAGAGGATGTAGCAATGTATCTGTTGTAAGCATTTTGTAGGAGAGTCTAAAATTTGAAGAACAAAATTAAATGGCATTTCTGGGATGTTAATCTAGAGTATGTTCCTGGATTGTCTGTAAGAGGAAAAACTTTTCTATTACGACTTTTTGATAAATTCTACTTGGCTTTTATACTTTTCCAAAATTCCGTTTTGTTTTAGAGAAACATATAAACATCTGAAAGTTAAGTTGAGTTTTTTTCTAAGGCGACTATTACACTATCAAATTTCTTTGTCAAAGATTTTATTTGACGATGATTTTATTTTATGAAAGAATTTGACAATGTAATGTGTGTGACTTTATAAAATATTGTATATTAACAATGTCATATTTTTCATCAAATGTCTTTTATAAAAAATCTTTGACAAAGAAATTTGATAGTGTAATACTGGCCTTACAATGTTTTATAAAATCACACATATTATACTGTCAAATTCTTTGAAAAAATAAAATCTTTGACAAAGAAATTTAAGTGTAATAGTAGCCTAGTCAAAGATCTTTTATAAAAGATATTTGATGTAAAATTTGACAGTATTAATATACAATATTTTATAAAATTACACATATTAAACTGTCAAATTCTTTGACAAAATAAAATCTTTGACAAAGCAATTTGACAATGTAATACTCGCCTAAGACTACTAGTGCTACTATTACACTATCAAATTTCTTTGTCAAAGATTTTATTTTATCAAAGAATTTGACAGTGTACCTAATATGTGTGATTTTAGAAAATATTGTACCATATGATGGGAAAAAAACGGCGTTTAGTTGGCTGGGAAATGACGATCGATGACATTTCCCATATAAATTTACATATAAAATGACAGCGATCTTCATTTCATAGCCATCGCTGACGCCGTTTTTTTTTCGATCGTTTGGTATATTAACATGCACTCAAATTTTTCATAAAATATCTTTTATAAAAGATCTTTGACAAAGACCTAAAAATCAAAACGCGTTTCGTGCGTTCGTTATGGTAATATCATTTTGCTTTATTTTTTTCATAGATAGTTATTATTAATTTTGCATAATGTCATATATTTCGCTATTTAAAAATGTCGAAGTAGTACAAAATTTATAACCACTTTAATTTCGATAGCATTGACCTAAGAAATATAACGAAAATCAAAATTAATAACCATTTAATAAGAATGAAAATCTGAAAATTACATTACCATAGAAACGCGTTTTGATATTTGGGACGATATCGACTATATTTTTCTCTAAAACAGTATGGAAATATTGAAATGTACCGTATTATCGAAAAAAAACGGCGTCCAGTTGGCTGGGAAAAGACAATCGATGACATATCTCAGGGCTTATTTTTCATGTGGTCGGGCCATAAGGCTCAAGCAAAAATTCGGGCCCTCTTTTTCAATAAAATTCAAAAATTCTCTTGTTAGTTTGGGTTAAAAAAAATAAAACAATTATTTTTATTTTTTTTTAATAATTTTAAAAAATAAATAAACATTATATTCAACAAAATAAATACATAATGAAAAAAAACAACAATTATTTCTAATTTTAAAAAATAAATAATTTTTTTTAACAAAACTTAATAAATACGCGTCGCTTGCACCACCCGAATCGCGCGCTTTTGTCTCCCACGTAGGACGAAGTGATATTTAGTTATTTTTAGATTGGGGAATTACCGATGCCGGTATCTTTGATATAAATTTATAAATAATTTAAAAAAAATTCATTAATTATATCAATCTAAAGCTTATTTTATTTAATTCTATTTTCCTTATCAGAGGTAACTTTTTTTTCTGCTATGTAAATTTACATTTGAAATTATGAATATTTTACAACCTTTAACGGGCCCCCCAGACCACCGGGCCTTATGGGCCTTGTGGTAAAATAGGCCCTGACATTTCTCATATAAAATAACAGCGATCTTCATTTCATAGCCATCATTGATGCCGTTTTTTTTCGATCATACGGTATATTAACATGCACTGTCAAATTTTTCATAAAATATCTTTTATTGTACAGTATAAACCGTATTAATTCATTTTACATACAGGAATAATACATTTTTTCAAGATGATAATAATAAAAAAGTAATCTTTCCTCTTAAAATATAATGTTAAGACGATTCGGTGACACACTGCCTAAGAACATTATAGTTTTGATACTGTATAGATACCATAGAATAAGAATTAGGGATATAGCGCTATACCTTCGAGTTTATTGACAAAATGGCGAAGGTATTTTAAAATATGGTCAACAGTCTGTGGCCATAAAAAAATGTGATTTTATCCTGTCTAAAAGTTCTTTTATCCATTTGAAAGAGCAAAAATTGAATGCAATAACATGGCACACTTAGTAAAACTTTTATAATTACTTTTTGTCTTAAAATATACCTCATTATCGAGCTTCCAATAATTAATCCAGTCAGCTACTTGAATTGCACCCCAATTGATATTGCTATTTAGAAAATCTTCTCTTGTTTCAATTGAATTTTCATACCTTGAAGTAATTTAGAAAAAAATTAGTTATAAGCAAGGTTATAAGTTAAATACAGTATATCCCCGGATTATTTTTACAAGAGGAAAAACTTATTATTTATACTTTGAGAAAAATGCATTCTTGATAAAATGTTTTGCTTGTTCTCAAATTGTTAATCCTGTTTATACTTTTCCAAATTTTCATAACGTTTTCGAGAAAATTAAAAAAACATGAAAATATGGTTGAATCTTTTCTAGTCCTAAAAATCAAAACACGTTTCTATGGAAATATAATTTCGTTTTACTTCTTTGATAGATTACTCTTGATATTATTTTAATTAGCGTCATATTTCTTGCTGTTTTAAAATGTTAAAGAAACACAAAATTTATTTAGTTCGATGTTACAGACAACAGAAAGAGTGATAAAAGCTATCGGAAAATGTGATACTTTAACAACAGCAAAACATATAAGGTTAATCAAAATTAATAATAATAACCATCTATCAAAGGATGAAATCGAAAATATATACTACCTACTATAGAAACACCTTCTGATTTTTAGGACTTCAAAATTCAACCATATTTTCATGTTTTTTTTTATTTTCTCTCAAACGTTATGAAGATTTGTAAAAGTATAAGCGGGAATAACCATTTTAGAACAAGCAACATTTTGGCAAGAATGGCAAGACAAGAATTTCCAGAAAGAATGCAATTTTCTCAAAATGTCAATAATTAAAAAGTTTTTCCTCTTGTAACGACAATACGGACGGGGACATACTGTATATTGAAAATATATTTTTTTTTTATTTGCTGTTTTCTTACGAAATTAGATATATCGTTATATTGAACAATAGAATCACAATATAATCGATTTTTTCAAAAACTGTTTACCTTAAAATATAATAATTATTGTGTATGTCATCAATCGATTGGCATTTTTAGTAAGAAATCTTATTTGAGTATGTACCTATATGGTGTGCTCAAACTGCAATAATTCTACCTACAATATTTTACTATATTATCCCGAGTATTTTTTAACTTTTTTATTTTTACACTATGTTGATATATGAGATCGTTAACAAGGAAAGAAATCAGTATATTGCTTTAAAACTATTCATTACTTTCGTAAAAACCACAGTAGGCACGTGCACCTGTCAACATTTGAATTTAAAATCTACCGGTGTGTGCGTCTCAAAAGTGGCTCACCCCTATAACTTTTTTATTTTTTCAGATAAAACAACGAGATTTGGTATGTTAGTATATGACATTAATTGGGATTGATTGACGTATTCAATTGTTTTCAGTCACTTCCGGTTTCACTGGAAATGACTACAATTTTTGAATTTTAAATGGCACCTTCGGTATTTTTTTAATTTATTCGATAGAAAATGACATTCTGAATCGAATGACATATCATATGTCAATTTTTGACATAGTCACTCAAAAACAAATTCTATTTTAAATTTCAATCTAGAGTGCCATGGCTGTGTTAAAAACATTAATTTTTAATCAAGGAGCCTTGGAAAAATAGATTTGATCGTCTAATGTTTTTAGTGCCTTATCCTGGCCAGTTAAAAGATGCCCAAATCGTATATTTTTAATCATATCTTAATTTTTTCAAATGGAACGAGGCTGGCTCATTAGCATATTTGGAAAAAGCATTTTTTTACGAATAATTTGATACCACACACTTGGTATTTTGAGTCAAATTGTCGTTGTAAACCATATGCTAAAATGTCAAAGTTGACATAATATGTAATTCGATTCAGAGTATCATTTTTTATCGAATAAAGTAAAAAAATACCGAGGGTGCCATTTAAAAATCAAAAGTTGTAGTTATTTCCGGTGAAACCGGAAGTGACCGAAAACAATTGAATACGTCAATCAATCCCAATTTATGTCTTATACTAACATACCAAATATCGTTGTTTTATCTGAAAAAATAAAAAAATTATAGGGGTGAGCCACTTTTGAGACGCACCCGGTATTTCATTTAATAATTTTAATTATTTTTCTATTTTCATTTTTAATTAGTATGATATTTGACATTACACTGTTTAACTGGTAAATGTGTTCAAATAAATTCAGATTGACATGTTTACCTGATTTTGGTTCACCTTATACAGTATGATGAAAAAAAAACGGCATCAACGATGACTATGAAATGAAGATCGCTGTTATTTTGTATGTAAAATTATATGGGGAATGTCATCGATCATGATTTTCAAGCCAACTGGACGCCGTTTTTCCTCGATCATACGGTACATACTGGGTATTTTACGCAACCGGTTTCTAAAAGTTTTTTTATTTGCTAATTTCACAGACTATTAATAGAGATACAAATTTGAATGATTGAAATTAAGGATATTTCCAGGAATACTTACATTCTTTTTAAAATATTTTCCACTTTTTGACACTTTCGGTTTAGTAACCGCCAACTTGCTTGTTTTAAATAGAACAATCTGTGATTTGTATTATTGAATTCTACATGTAATTCTGAACACGTTTTATATATGCCATATTAGGTGTATGGCATATACGTATATGGCATATATATACAGGGTTAGGTAATAGTGCGTCGGGCATCTGTAGCTCCTAGAATAAAAAAAATGGAAATTTTGTTTAAGTGCATATCTAAAGTATGTTCTAGGATGTATTTCAAGAAAATTTTAACTTCTATAGGGTGCCTCAAAAAAGTGTGAGTAGATCGGGATGATTTATTTTTAAATGGAACACCCTTTATATTATTGCATTTTTGGCTCCGTTTCAGATCACTTTATATAGTTTTAAGGTATGAGTAAATTAATATATTTCGATAGGTTCAGAGATATTAATAAATAAATAAAAAATATACATTTTTGAGCCTTTAAAAAAAATATTAAAAATACAAGAACTGTCCTGAAATCAAAACTATATTAGGTATTTATTTAGATGGTCTGTGTTTACTTTGCTATAAATATCGCAATCTTAAGTGATCATACAGGATGTTCAAAATTTTACTCCAAACTTTCTAAAATATAAAATAATCTTTTTTCGTTTTTTTTTTAAATGGAACTCCTTATATATTATTTTTTCAATACGAGAATTAAAAAATGAACATATTTTGTATTTATAGTATTTCAAAATTTTTAATGGTTTCGCAGATATTCGCGGTTTTATATTTCATATGACATTTTCCATAGTAAATTTTTATCAAAGCATCTAGTGATTTTTCTCTCTTATTTTACCGTTGAGAGAGCCATATATGAAATAATACTGCGCGTATCTGCGATACCATTAAAAATTTTGAAATACTTTAAATACAAAAAATGTTATTTTTTAATTTTACATCTAATAAAAAAATATACAGGATGTTTTAAAAAAACAAAGAAATATTAGTTTATATTTTAGAAAGTTTGGCGTAGAATTTTGAACATCCTGTATGATTTAAGATTACGATATTTATAGCAAAGTAAGCATAGACCATCCAAACCATACCTACTATAGTTTTGATTTCAGGACAGTTCTTGTATTTGTAATAATTTTTTTAATGGAAGTTGAAAATACAATTTTTTTATTTATATATTAATAGCTCTGAAACTATCGAAATATATTTATTCATATCTTAGGATTATGTAAAGTGATCTGAAAACCAAACCAAACCAAACATCTAGAAATAATAAGAAAAAACAGCAAATTTGTCCAAGGAACTTTTCCTTCTAATTTACTCTGATATATGTTTAAATAAACTTTTCAAATTTGAATCCTTCATATTTTCTCAATGACTCGATCGATTTTCAAAAACGAAACGGGGAAATATAGAGAATAGAAAGCTCTTTTCATTGCTGCGCCACTTGACCCCCCTTTTCATTTGAAAAAAGTTGGGGGATGACACCCACGCTCAGAGGGTTGAAGATTTTGCAATTTTTTTTGGGGCATAAGTTGTCCCCCTCACAAACAAAATTGACGTGTTTTTGAATTTTCTGAAAAAAAAATTACTCTGGCCGTTATGCCTTGCGGAACGTTTTCGATGGACCACCCTGTATATGAAATAATACTGCGCGTATCTGCGATACCATTAAAAATTTTGAAATACTTTAAATACAAAAAATGTTATTTTTTAATTTTATATCTAATAAAAAAATATACAGGATGTTTTAAAAAAAAATATTAGTTTATATTTTAGAAAGTTTGGCGTAGAATTTTGAACAGCCTGTATGATTTAAGATTACGATATTTATAGCAAAGTAAGCATAGACCATCTAAAATACCTAATATAGTTTTGATTTCAGGACAGTTCTTGTATTTGTAATATTTTTTTTAATAGAAGTTGAAAATACAATTTTTTTATTTATATATTAATAGCTCTGAAACTATCGAAATATATTTATTCATATCTTAGGATTATGTAAAGTGATCTGAAAGGAAGTCAAAAATGCAGTAATATACAGAGTGTGCTATTTACAAAAATCATCTCGATCCACTCATACTTTTTTGAGCCACCCTATAGAAGTTAACATATTTTATTGAAATACATCCTGGTACATACTTTAGGTTTGATTCTTACACTTAAACAGAATTCCCAAGTATTTTCTTCTAGGAGCTACAGGTGCCCGACGCACTATTGCCGAACCCTGTTTAAAAATATACAGGGTGGTCCGAACTGTATTCCGGAAGCTTCGGCAGCATATTCTGCAGATAAAAATAAGTAAAAAAGTTCTTATAAATGTATGTCCTAAAATGATTAGGTTCGGAGATACAGGGTGTATAGAAGGTTCATTTTTATTTCGATTTTCTCCAAATAATTTCTGAAGTAACGTCAATATTTGGATGAAAATTGGTGTCTGGGAGTTTTTTGACATGAGAAATTTGATTTTGATGTCAATATAACTACTACTTGTAGAGGGCGCCACCTACATATTTTTTAACTGGTTTGAAGAGTAATAACTTTTTGTCCGTAAGTTGAGCTCTCTTAACCTATTGCGAACAGTGTCAGGACTAACGGTTACTTTATGTGTGTCCTGGAGAATTAAAGTAAGCTCTGGTGCTGTAAAGAGTCGGTCGGCGCGGCGTCGAGCATTTAATTGTAAAAAATGATCTTGCTGAGGGGTAGTAATGCGATGTAGCCCTGTGTGCCTTTCAGCAACATCACCACTTTCACGGTAGCGTGTACTTAATCGCGATATTACACTTTGCGTTGTATTTAATGCTCTAGCTACGTCGATTTGGCGCATTTCAGTTTCGAGCATACCCATGGCCCTTAGCATTTCGTCTCTGTTAAGATGTCTACGCTCCATAATGTCGTTTAATACAAAACAGAGTTATTTGAATGAATTTTGGCCAGTTATCATAAAAACATAGCCAGTACAGGTTAAATTCGAACAATTGATGCTAGGTGCTTTTTATACATTTGACAAAAAATGCACAAACACTTCTGCAAATATCCCAAATTTAGAAATAACTAGTGTGACTACTTCGTTTCAATCGAAGTAGAAAGAATCGGCCTACAAATATGTGGTTGTTTATTCAAAACTTTTATTTTTAACTTTAATAAAATGATATCCCTAGATTTTTCCGGTGTGTGTAGTTATTTGACTAAAATTATAAATTTAAAATGTTTTTGTGTCAAAAACTCAACAGAAACTGTTGTATCATAATTTTTTTGCAGAAAATTTATGATTAATTTAAAAAAAAATCCCAAATTTATTATTTCAGTCAAATAACTAATATACTCAACGTGTTTATTTTTTGTCAATAATGACGTATTGACTATTTCCATTCTAAATATCTTGAGAACGGTTGCTCGTAGCGATTTTTGCCAAGAGACATTTATTACGTAAAAAATCATAGAATTGTATATTTTTTCACTCCATAGTTTTATACAGGTACGGACGAAAAGTTATTACACTTTAAACCAGTTAAAACACATGTAGGTGGCGCCCTCTACAAGTAGGGGTCATATTGACATCAAAATCAAATTTCTCATGTCAAAAACTCTCAGACACAAATTTTTATCCATAGATAAAAGACTTACTATTAAATAGATAGGCAACTTATAATACATTTCAATTTTATTATACAAGGGCGCCTCTGGTAGACGGAGGAAGAAATACTAATGGAAGAGAGGGGTGCGGGGAAGGGGGGTTGTTTTAGTTAATTTAAAATAAATTTAGACATACATGTAGGAACACTTTGTGTGCTTTTAATTAGGTCGAACATATTATAAACGATAAATCAACTTAATTAAAAGCATACAAAGTGTTCTTATATGTCGGATATTAATTAAAAAATATATTAAAAAGACTAGAAATAGTATATATTAAGTTGTTACAGTTATAATTTAATCTTTGGCGGTTTTCAGCAAATAGCAGGCAGTTTTACATAATTTTCCTCCCTTTGAAGTGAATTGGAAACGGCTATATAATTTTGGTGTAGGCAAGATTCCCAGTTTGTTTCCGTTTGGGACCTGAAATAATAAAACCAAATTAAATTAGATGTAATCATCTGCTGATCATGCTAATATAAAACGCGCGTCCTTAATTCCTTACATGCACCGTAAAAAAAATTAAATAACTGCTCAGCAAGTAGCATTTATTAGCAGTACTAATTTAAAAAATCTATAACTGTAAGTAGATATGTTTAATTTACTTACCATTGTATCCTTCGGAAACCAGGTGTACAACAATTAAACTCCATGATAAAAAATAATAAGAGTCTATACAAAACACAAATTGTCCCACCATTTTTAAAAAACATTGTCTAAAACAGAATACTGGCAAAAAATCTGAAGGAATTTAATTTTACAATAATTCGACAAATCTTTAATAGTATAAGTCTTTTATCTATGGACAAATCAAAACGAAATCAAACCGTAAAATCACAACAAAAGCGTCTCTGAGTGACAGTTAAAAATCAAATTTTATTATTGTCAGATATAGACATTTGCATTGTTGATATTGACAGTTTTAATATTTTGCGCCTCTGCATCTTGGAGGAAAAATTATTTTTAATGAACTGTCATTTCCATTTAAGTTTCCCAGCCATGTTTTTATCCAAATATTGACGTTACTTCAGAAATTATTTGGAAAAAATGAAACTGCTACACCTTGTATCTCCAAAACTAAGCATTTTAGGACATACATTTATAAGAACTTTTTAACTTATTTTTATCTACAGAATATGCTGCCGAAGTTTCCGGAATATAGTTCGGACCACCCTGTTAGCCAGTTTAGCCGTTTTTGAAAAAAAATCACTTTTGTGTCAAAAATTACATTTGCCAAGCGAAAGCTAATTCCAGGATCAGTTATTTTTATTTTCATAAGTTTCTGTTGTTTATCTTTTAGAAAATATTCTACTCTACTTAAATTTTTAAATCAATTACATGGTGCTCATAAAGTTTTGATAGATATAACCCTTGATTATGTACCTATAACAAGCAAAATTGTGCTTGCAGCAAAATTATATTTTGGCAGTACCTACAGGTACATTTTTTCTCAAATGGGACTCCCCTCAAGTGGGTGGTAGAAGAAAATGCCTATGTTTGTATTGACACATCATTTTGCATGAGAATCGGCAGTAATGGTACCAGTGCTCGAGAAAAAAAAATGTTTTTGCAGACCAGTGCAGTCTTTTGGATTAGGAGCTGGAGACATACCAAGGAAGTGTCATAATTGTAGCAAGACCGCTTTCATAAATTCTTGTTAAGAAAAATGCGAAAAAATACATTGTCATCATTATTATAGCTGCACTGTTTCTTGAGGGAACTGGCACTTTAATGTTGTCAGTAAAAAATATTTGAATAACTCCAAGTAGATCTCTTCCGAATTTCCTGATCAATAGCCGATTTCCCATTAAACTAAAATATTGTTTTACAGTTCTGTCGTATAAGTTACTTTATTTGAATTACCTTGCGTATTTTAATCTGTATTTTGTTATTAAAATGTTTATATAATGTGTGCAAAGAATAATTGCAACGTATCCAAAAAATATAGCTTGCCACGTGCAAATGCTGTAGACATATACTGGTGTTAACCAAGCAGCAACCAACCTAAAAACGGACTTAATATAAAATACCAAAGATTTTTTTTGTATACCTACGGGGTGCGTCTCAAAAGTAGCTCACCTCTATATTTTTTTTATTTTTTGAGATAAAAAAAAACGAAATTTGTAATGCTAGTATATGGCATGAATTAGGATTGACTTTAAGACTCATTCAAGACTCACTCTGTATATGCAGGGCATTTAGAAAAATTAAAATACATAAATATATTTACTTTGGCGCTGGCACCAAACAAGTCAATCCAACTCTTAGTGTAGGTATTGATAGACCAAAGAATCTGTACATTCTGTCTGTGGAGTAATGGGCAGCTAAAAATTAAAATAAAATGATCATTGGAAAATAGCTTCAGAAACTCGTAGATAGGTACAACTTTTTAACTTTCGACGTTGTAATAAAAAATATACTCTCATAAAAAATATTAATAAAAATTATTCATTTTAAAACTTTTATTATTTACATTAAATGAAAGAAGACTCAAAGTCTCTTTTATTAATGTTTTTCTGAAGTTTATTTGGTATACTTGAATTGCAATTCTAAATATTTTTTCTGTAGATCTAAGAATGGTATGTATTTTTGCTGGTTAAATGAGTAATGCGAAATCACGGTTGGTTACAATTCCTTAATACGAACTATAATATTGTATTACTTTACTCACCAACACCTATGTCGACATTATCTCTGTACACATCGCCTCTAAGTCCATAGACAGTGCCATTATCAAACACGTCACCCCAATAGTCTTTCTGAACCAACCAGAACTTTTTTGTAACATTGTGTTTTTTAAAAAATTCGTTTAATATCTCACCTTCCATTCCTGTCATGGTTATAGATCTTCCACTTTTTTCTAGAAAAGTGATTTATTATTTACCTACAATGCAATTGTTTACATCTTTTGGATATATTGTAGAATGTATGGGAGGGGCAAATTAATCACCGTATAACTTACGATAATCACTTTATAACTCATCGTACAGTCTCAGGACTTCGTAGAATGTAGAATGATAGAATAGAGACGGTTTTACACAAGTTATTCTCCATTTCCGAAATCGGTCGTACCAAAGTTTGACCACGAATGATCGTCGTTTTGACGCATTCTGCTAGTTCTTATAGCTTCTATTTACTAAAGTGTTCATTGAGGAGACAGTGTCCTGTTAAAAACCCCGTGACAATCCGAAGATTCATCATCTAAAGTGTCCACTGTTGGGCGTAGACCTCCCTCAAATCTATCCACCCTCCTCGGTCGTGTGCCACTTTTGGATCCAATTTCCTCTTAATCACTTTAAGTCATCTGACCAGCTTGTCGGAGGTTGGCTTCTGCTTCTGAGAGAATCCTGTCTTGGCCGCCATTCTAGTATTACTTGATCCATCTATCGTCCGTTCTTCTGGCAATATGCCCAGCCAGTTCCATTTCAGTTTTTCAAGGTACTCAGTAGTTAAGGCATCTGTTATTCTTGTACGCTGATTTATTACTGTATTGGGTACTACTGCCATTACTCGCCATCACTACTACTCTGCCATTACTCGCTGACGAGTATTTGACACGCATCAAAAGATGGTTACGCAAGGCGTTTCCATTCATGAGCTTTTCTGTGACTGAAAAGCCCGATACGTGATGTTATCTCTCTTCCGCACTCCGGACATTCAAAAACCTCATTACTTTGTTGTCTCTTTACTTTTTGGTTGTCGTTATTAACTGAATTTACAATTATCCTCCATTGCGTTCTATTGTGCACTGCTTCCTCCCACTGATGCTGCATACTTATCCCCTTTAAGTTTTCATGAACAACATTCTTGTATCTTTTGAGTTGTCCACCCGGTTTCCTCTTATCCTCTACAAGTTCACCGTAAAGAAGAGATTTCGGTAGGCGGTTTTCTTGCATCCTGTATACGTGGCCAGCCCATCTTAAGCGAGATTTAGTAATCATGACTTCAGCGCTCTCGCAGCTTGCTTTTTTAAGGACTGATACGTTTGAGACATGGTGGTACCATTTGATTCTTAAAAGTTGTCTAAGGTGTCTCTGTTGCAACTTGTTTAATGCGCTCGTGTGCCGGCGGTATGGCACCCAGGTTTCGCTTCCATTTAACATGGTGGGGATTATTACTGCTCGATACACTGCAAGTTTCGTTTTTGTGCTCAAGTCATGATTGTAGAAAACCCTGTCTTTTAATTTCCAGAATGCCCTTGAGGCGCTGCTGATTCTGTGCTGAATTTCACAGTCGATATTTGCCTTTTCCGAAATCAAACTGCCGAGGTAATTAAATTCTGATACATATTCCAATAGTTCTTCTCTGATTTTTATAGCGCTGTTATGATTTTCCGGGGGAGTGAACATGATTTTTGTTTTATCGATATTCAGTTTAAGGCCCAAAGTCTCGTATGCCCAGGTATATGTGTTCAGCATTCCCTGTAATTGCTGTAACGTATTTGCAACTAGAGCGCAGTCATCAGCGTATTGGAGTTCTGTGATGAATTTTATACGTATTTTTGTCCTAAGTCTTTATTTTGAACAGACCGCCGTCATACCTGTATCTAACGCCCATTCCTCTTTCCTGCAGTTTGCTGTCCACTATAATAGAGAGCGCTGCCATGAATATGTTGAATAGGAGAGGAGCTAGGACACATCCCTGCCTAACTCCTATATTTGTCAGGAAGGGATCGCTCAGTGATCCATGATGTGACACTCTCGACTTGTTGTTATGGAGGCTTTTACACACACTAAGAAATTTGTTGGGCACTCCGAACTTTTGCATGATTGCCCAAAGTGCATCTCTGTTTACAGAGTCGAAGGCTTCCGTTAGGTCGATGAGCTTTTGAGAGTTGGCAGACGGAGAATATGGAATCAACGGTACCGCGGTTGGTGCGAAAGCCCGTTTGCGATTCTGGGAGGATTTTTTCTATATGTGGGTGAAGGCGGTTTGACATAACTTTGGCGAGAACTTTACCTCCGATGACCAGTAGTGAAAACGCTCGGTAGTTTCCGCAATCTGATGCACTTCCTTTGTTCTTAAATATATTTACTATATTCGCGTTGCGAAAGTCCTGAGGTACCTCTCCGCTTTCCCATGACATCGAAGAGAGCCTTAAGATGACCAGTAAGTTCTTTGCTTGCACACTTATAGATTTCCGCTGGAATCGCGTCACAGCCAGCTGATTTGTTTTTTTAAGTTGTTTTATTGAGGCTTTTATTTCCTGTTCCGTTATTGGAATATCTAATACATCAATGCTGTTATACTGAGGTATTGTGTTTAGTGCTTGCATATTGGGGATATTGTCTTGGTTAAGGATATGGCTGTAATGCTCTTTCCAGCGATTTCTTATTTGCTCTTCCTCTTTTAGAAGTTCACCGTTTTGTGCCTTGATTGGGCAGCTTACGTTCTTAGTTGGGCCGTATACTTCTTTTACAGCCTCGAAGAATTTACGATAGTCGTTATGCGCGGCGTACTCTTGAATCTGATTTGCTTTTTGTGACCACCAGTTATCCTTTAGTTAGCACAGGTTTCTTCGCAGCGTGTTGTTGGCTGCTTTAAAGTTGTCCACCAGCCTTGGATTGTGTGGATTTGCAGTAACTGCTTGATGTGCTCTATGCTTTTGTTCTAACAAAGCCTGAATATGTGGTTGATTTTCGTTAAACCAGTCTGGTTGTTTCTTTTTGTTGGATTTTCCCAGTATTTCTCTGCTGGTATTATAAATCGCATCCCTCAATTGTGTCCAGCTTTGTTCAGCTTCGAAGATGGAGGTTATCGGTGGATGTGCTTCTCTGATGGCTTCCCGGAGGGCGTTGGTGGTGTCGTTGTTCGTTAGACTCCGTACGTTTAATTTGGTCATGTTGTTTTGCTTTTTTGCAGTGTGGATGTTTGGGTTTTAATTGAAGTTTCATTTTCGAAACTACAAGTCGGTAGTCAGTACCACATTCGGCATCTATTTTGGCTTTTGTAAGTCTAACATCTTTCAGATGGTTTCTTCGAACGATGACGTGGTCCAATTGATGCCAGTGGCCTGATCTGGGATGTTTCCAGGTACCTTTAAACTTGTCTTTCAGCTTGAACCATGTATTGGTGATGCAAAGGGTGTACTCTGTGCATGTTGTTAGCAAGCGTTCACCATTGCTATTTACGTTTCCTATTCCATGTTTTCCCAATACGTCTGGCCATATTTCTTGCTGATTGCCGACACGTGCATTAAAGTCACCTAGCAAGATGATTCGCTCCTGCTTTGGAATTCGTTGGAGGGCATTTTGTAGATCTTGGTAAAATGTATTCTTATCCTCAACCTTAGCGGATAGGGTGGGAGCGTAGGCACTAATGTTATTGACGTAAGTTTTATCTAATATGGGGTACCTTAAGGTCATGAGACGTTCGGAGACTCCAATGAGCACTTCTGTTAAACTGGTGGCGTTTTCTTTTTTGACAGCAATGCCTACGCCATGAATTCTACTGTGTGTGGCAGGGTGACCCTTCCAAAAGAAGGTGTAATGCTCCTCAGTCAGACTACCTTCATCTGCAAAGCGGGTTTCGCTAAGAGTGGCAACATCGATACTTAACCGGTGTAGTTCCTGTGAGACCAGAGCAGTTCTTCTTTTTGGTCGATTAGAGTTTGTCCTGTTCAGTAGAGTGCGGACGTTCCACGCCGCAAACATGAAACATTGACGCTGCTTAATTCTCCGATGATACGCTCGAGTAGGCACCCCCACACCGATCGAGGGGATCCGATATTGGGTATGCTGCCTCTTATGCATACTTAGGTAATACCAAGCATTTATCTTTCCATAGTTCGTTGGGCTACACAGATTTATTCTATGGACTTTTTGGTCAGTGTAAGACAGTCAGTTAACACTTATATAATATGGTGCAAACGCACCATATGGAAGTACTGCCATGATGGAACATTTTCCTATTTAAGCCCATTGATAGATCTGGTGTTAACACATATCTTAGTTTGTCGAACGCTGTCCATGTTAGTCCTATTCTTCTTTGGATATCGTGTGTCTGGTTGTCGCGACCCGTTGTTATTTCGTGCCGCAAATATTTATATGAATATATTTATTATATATACTTTATAGAAGGGTTTATCGTAAGACTATAAAAGCTGCCAAGGACATTTATTATAATGCGAGGCTAGCCAAAGCCGGTAATGTTGCTAAGGAGACTTGGCTTTTGTAAATGATTTAAGGAATGACTTCTTTGTCTGGCACAGTCTTTAATTCACCTGAAGACTTAAACACTTTGTTAATGTGACTAAAAATTTAGTGAACACCATAACTCCTTCCCATGATTCACTTTCATATTTCCCTAAAGCAAATGAGAATTTACACATTTTCACATTTTCTTCACGCCCGTAGCATTATATGAGCTCCGTAGTACAATTAAAAGTATTAAAAACAAATCCTCATCTGGGACTGATGGGCTTACTCTCAAAATGTTCTCTGAACTTCCTGAATGCACATCTTACTACTTTGCACCATCTTACTACTTTAATTAACGAGTCATTCCAAAAAGGAGTTTTTCCAAACTGCCTTAAGACAGCAATAATTATACCTCTGCATAAAAGAGGAGATAAAGATGAAGCTTCGAACTATCGCCCAATTGCACTCCTGCCCACATTATCTAAGATCATTGAAAGATTGGTTAAAAAAAGGTTTCTATCTTTTCTCCTTAAATATAAAATACTTACTACCCATCAATTTGGATTTCTAAGTAACAGTTGCACAAATGATGCTATGTTCGACCTTTTTAATAATGTATACTCTAGCCTGAATAACCATCAGTCTACAGATACAACTGTGTAAATCATAATATCTTAATTAACAAATTGCAATACTATGGATTCAGGGGAGTGCCGCTCGAATGGCTTCGTCATATCTTGGCAACAGAAGGCAGCTTGTGAGGATTGATACGTCTGTCTTCTTGTAAGCCTATAGAATGTGGTGTCCCTCAGGGTTCAGTACTTGACCCTATTTTGTTTCTGGTGTTTATCAACGACATCGCAAATCTAGACA